CCTAGTATGTCAAATATCTATGTGTTCCATTTCTTCCTTAACAATTTCCAATTTTCTTACTTTTATATTTCTCACGTTCCATGTTCCAGTCTCTAGGATCTGTTCACAACTCTTCCTCCTTGTTTGTGATTTGCAACAGGAAGGCTCAGCCTCTGGTACCATATTTGCTAGTGTAATCTTAGTGTGCTCTATTGTACATATGGTTTTCAAAGGCCTGTGATTTCAGAAGTGGATGGCCAATTATTCTCTCTAGCCTGTCTTCATTTCAGTGCTCATCATAGATTACTATTTGACAGATAAGCATAACTCAAAAATGCTTATGAGAGTATTCAGGTAACAGATCTGGACTTGGTCATTGGACCCACTTATTCAGCAAATGTGTTGTATTCCCATCCTCACCTCAGCCTGACAGTGTCCAGCTCAATTTCCTCTTTTTGTTCCCTCTAGCATCTCCAATTCCCCTGTCCCCATCGAAGTCTTGCTGATGGCTCATGCTTCCCACCTACTCTCTCTTCCTACTTCCTTTCCACTCCCCTGTGATTTTGGTGTTACTGTCACAGGGAGAGCAGCAGGTGCAATATCCATGTGACGATTGAGGTCTTCACACAGAGGATGTGGTCTCCAGGTGCTTCTGTGTACTGAGGTTTGTTGTGCACTCAAACAGAGGAAGAAGAAAAGACCAAAATAAAATATTATACAAAATGAGTGATCCTGGAGGGCATTATGTTGAGTGAAATATCTCAATCACAAAAGAGCAAATACTGCATAATGCCACTGTTATACAACAGGACTGACATCGGGTTTGGGGGAAAACTAAGAGAAGATGGGCTAAATAACTTACACTGAATTGAAGCAGATGAGGGAGATAACTGTTTAAAAGGTATATATGATTACATAATATTTGCATGGCAAGAGTCTAGAATAAGAGCTGCATAGTAAACTGGACTGGGAGGAGGGGAAATGGTATAACAATGAAATAATGGGTTTTTTCCTTCTCAAAGAGAAAAGTGAACTGGGAGGAAGGGGGAGGAGTGGCCAGGGAGAAAAATGTGCAACAATAAATGAAAATCAAGTTCTCTATAATCTTTCATTAAAATCTCATTTAAAAAAAAAGACATAAGAAAAAAAAGTTTGTCAGAAGAGACTCTGAATTTTGCATTAGAATGCCAAGAGCACAAAACAAAGGGAACAAATTAAGATGTGAAGGAGCCGCACAGATTTTAAAGGATATCTAAGGAAGACAAAGCAAAATATTATAATGAAATGTGCAAGGAGCTGGAGTTGGAAGATAAAAAGGGACAAACTCACTTGGCACTTCTGAAGCTGAAGGAACTGAAGAACGAATTTAAATCTCAAGTTGCGGTATTTAAGGATGTGAGGACAGAATGTTGAATAACCCAGGGAGCATCAAAAGAAGATAGAAGGGGTACACAGAGACACTATACCAAAAAACCTAGCTAACAAAGAAGAATTTCATGAAACAACATATTATCAAGAGGCAATGATGATGAAAGAGGAAGTTCAAGCTTCTCTGAAGGAATTGACAAGAAACCAAGGTCCCAGAAATTGATGACATATCAATTAACATATTTCAACAAACAAATGTTGCCTTGGAGTGTTCACCAGATACTGCCAAGAAATCGGAAGGACAACTCTCTGGAAGAGATCTATACTTATCACCATTTATAAAGAAAAAAAGTGACACAACAGAGTGTGGAAATTATTAAACATAAGCAAGCAATATCCTGCTGAGGTTTATCCAGAAACAAATGGAACTTTACATCAACAGAAAAATACCAGATGTGCAGACTGGGTTTAGAAGAGGATGTGGCATTAGGGACATTATAGCCAACTTTAAGTGGATCTTGGTGGAAAGCAGAAAGCACCAGAGGAATGTCTATCTGTGTTTCATTGAGTAAGTAAAGGCATTTGACTATGTGGATCTCAACAAATTGTGGCCAATCTTTAGTAGAACAGGAACACTTGAGGAGAATGAGAATACATCGCAGAACACTTAATTGTGTTCATGCGAAACCTATATTTTAACCAGGAAGCAGTAGTCAGAACAGAGTAGGGAAACTGCATGGTTCAGGATCAGGAAAAGTGGGCATCAGCAGTGTTTCTATTTCCATACCTTTTCAATCTATATGCAGAACAGATCATCCAGGAGGCTGGGCTCTGTGAGAAGGAATATGGAATCAGGATTAGAGGAAAAACTCATCAGCAACCTGTGTTATGCAGATTACACAACTTTGCTTGATGAAACTAAAGAGGACATGAGGTATTTGCTGCAGAAGGTCAAGGATTGTAGTCTTCAATATGGACTGAAGCTCAAAATCAAGAAAACAAAGATTCTTACCACGTGGCCAGTTGGCAGCTTCATGGCAGATGGAGAAGAGATTGATATTGTTAACAACTTCAGCTTGTTTAGCTATAGAAAAGTGGATTCTGTGCTATCCTACAATAAGAATAAATTTGTCTCATGAGCATAAAGTATGCTATCAGCATGCAAAAATAAGATGATTTCACCAAAGACGAATAGTCAGATTAAGTAATCAAGTAGGAGTAAGGAAGAAATGAATAATTTTTAACTTAAAATTTTAAACTTACTAGCTGGTGAATAAACATTCTTCTCCTTCAAGAGAACATTGATTTATATCTAAGATGTAAATTATATGTGATATTTTCCCCCTTGGGGAAAAAAAGATATATTCCCCGTACTGCATTACTTTTATTTGTTTTCTAAATATAAAATCTTCTTTAAAAGTCAGTATTTTACAGCATAGGTAGTAAATAAAATCTGTCAAAATCTGTGGAGACAAGAAATGTTCTTGCAACATTTTGTATGAGAATTGTGTTGAAAACTACAGTACGCTACAATGACTGCTTAAAATCTATTTTGTGATGTTGATGTCATCTATTTTTAGAATAATTTATGTTAATTTTTCTTCTCACTTTGAACAAAATCTAATATCAAATTTTGCTAATTAGGACACATTTGTGACTAAGCCTGAGAATCTCCTATATATCTTTTCTATATGAATTTTTGGTAACTTATTTTTCATTGTTTGGCTCTTATGTTAACCAAATTAGTTTTCACTTTCTCTGATTCTGAGTAACTTCTATGGCAATTAATCAGAAATGTATAGTTTCTGAATAAAGCACTCTTGTTTGTCTAATTACATACTATCCGCTATCATGTTCTCCCTTCTAATTTTTATCTTGAACAAATCTCCTAATAGTAAATATTTATATGTGTGCTTCTTAATATTCACACTGCCAAATATGATCATATTTGTGCAGTAAATCAACTGCACAAACACACAGTACAAGTGAACAGGACATTGTTCTTTATGCAATTACAAGGCCTATTGATTTGGCCCCAGATTATGCCTAAAGCAGCTGCACGTTTGATTGAGTGTTTCTCACTAACTCTATTTAGGACACTTCATGTAATCATTTCACTGAGCTTCTGGGCAATTTTCAAGAAGGACTCAGCTGTCCGTGAAGCTGCCAGACGTCTTGGAAAGATTGTTGAAGGAGATACAGCAGCCTTTTCTGGATGACAAGTTATGCTTGCCTTTCCACTGACACCTTCAGTTAATGGGCTAACAGGTTTTTTGGAGAAAGCGTTAACTGCTCAGTAATGTTAGCAACGTAAGGTACACGTAGCCAGAAGTCAAACCTCGATGTGTCTAAAGATACATGATTTGTATCACAAGGTTTCTCCCTTGTGGGTAACTTTTTCTAAGTCACATAAAACCTTAGTTATTAGACTTAAATTTTAAGATAGTACTCTTAGTTGTCACTTTACACATTTTTCCTAAACCCCTACTCTACTCTGAAATTTGGGAAAGTCTGTAAAAAATTGTATTTTTGGTCTTGCGTAAATTGAATCACATAGCGTTTGGTCTCAATCTGGCAAAGAGCAGAAGACATGATTTATGATATAGAGTCAATATATAAGAAATAATCATGAAGACAATAATGAATTTAATTGGTTATTGTATTGTTGGTTATCACTTATAAATGTTTATTGCCTAATTGGATTTTGGTTGTATTTTTAAAGAAATAAAATTTAACTTAGAAAAAGTATAGTTATTTTGCTAATCTTTAACCAGAAGATCACAAATTATTTATAAATATTTCCCTCTTGTTAGATACTTGTGAAGTCTGTTCTGACCCAGATTGACAGTGTAGAAGTGCCCCATGCTCTCCATCATACTTGGCCGGTGAAAAACAGGAAGTGCTGTGGCTTCAAGAATGGGAACAGGCAGTAGTTATAGGAATAGTGTAGAACTGGGCAGGATTTAGTTTTGTTTCTCAGACAGTCACTATAAGTTGGAATCAGCTCAATGGTACCTAACAGCAACAGTACTTACAGGAGGGAGAAACTTTTTCCTCCTTTAGAGCTACTGGTAGCATCAAACTGCTTCCCTTTTGAAAAACCAAGTGCTTAGCTATTGCATCACCAAGGCTTCTTAACAAATGTAGAATACTGATTATTGTTATTGTTGTTATGTGCCATTGGGTGACCTGTAACTCATAGCAACCCTATGTATAATAGCTCTGAACCCTGCTCTATCCTGAGCCAGTCTCACTTTTGCAGCACACAATTACCCCAGTTACTCTGTTCATCTCATCCGAGGTTTTCCTGTCCTGTGCTGTCCCTCCACCCTTGCAAGCATGATATCCTGCTTATTGTACATTTTCCAAGGGATTATTTTCTTGGAACAAGCTTACTAAGATTCATTTCTCCACTTGCTGTGTATGTATGTACATAAGCATGTGCATATAAACATACAGAGTTATATTGAGATCAGTATATGTGAATATTTAAATTATCACATTTTTATGGATACACATAGAGAGAAGTTAATGTATTTTTGCATCTTTATAGAATTTCAGTTATTCTTGTGTATAAGACAACAAGTGTATATTATTGGGTCCGTACAGAATCCTAGCTCTAAATGTTAACTTTCATTTTGTTTCTACACTAGAGAATATTATATCACTATGGTTAAATGGATAAGCAATACCAAGACCGTGGTGAGGTGGTTGAACCGACCGCAGAACATCTCCATCCTCACAGTCTGTGAGACCACCACTGGCGCTTGCACCAGAGTAAGTATGCTATCTTTTGAGCTTCTAGTAAAAATGAACTAGTTATTGTTACCCTCTGAAAGGAAATATGGAAGATTTTGCATGAAGCCTTCAAAATTAAATGTTCAAGTTGTGGTGGTTGAAAAGGATAAGGCGGTGAATAAGTATGTGAACTGAGAATGTACTATTTAATCCATCACATTCCCACATAAGCAGAAAAATATAAACTGTACCTTAGAAATAATAAAGGGAGCTCTGGCTGCCTAGTGGCAAGAAGCCGTGCTGCATTCCAAAAGGGATGTGGTTCAAATTCACCAGATGTTCCCCTGGAGAAGGAAGGGCAGTCTCTTCCTGTGCCAGCTGGATCCAACTCAGAGTACAAAACAAGAGAAAAAAAAATAATAATGAATACACTGAAGGCAAAAATAGTGACATTTCATCACACGTATTTTCAACATATTGCAATGAGGTGCTTTTCCTTGGAAAGTGACACTATGCTTATATTGGTTGAGGGTCAGAAAACAAGAAGAACTTCAACAAGATGGATTCAAATGTGTTGGGGGTGATAAAGGAGGCACAGGATAGGTTAGAGTTCAAATCTATTGTTCATAGTTTCACTATGAGTCATACTGGACCTAACAACAGTTAAAAGTTAAGTTAACTTAACAACAAGTCATACTAGACTTGACAACAGTTAACAGTTAAGGCACTTAACAACAACAATAACTCACACTAACATTATTCTCAAATCTGGGGCATCTTTCCACATTTTGGCTTCAATTACCTTCTCTTTTCCACTGTGGTCTACATTAGTTTTGTCCAAAAACAAACATGGCTTTAACCTTAATAGAAAATCAACCAAGCACCAAACCTATTTCTGTTGAGTTGATGCCCATTCATGTCTCTATAGGATGGGGTTGAACTACACCTTAGAGTTTAGCAAGATTGAACATTTTTGCAGAAGCTGATTGATATGCTTTTCTCTATGCAAAGACTGGTAAACCACACATTTCTGTTAGAAGCCAAATACTTAGCACATCACAGCACTAAGGCTCATATTAATGAGAAATGGGGGGGATCTTGAAGTATTTCATTATGGAAGTAGTATGTATTTTAATTTCTGAAGTACATTTTTGTAATGCTCCAATAAATTCTATATATGTCATTTTTAGAGGTGTTTGCAGAAATAATGGTGTGATCACAACGAATCAGGATGACAGAATAATTAATGCCTTTGAGTTGTAGTGGTGGAGAAGAGCCCTGATCATCCATGTACTGCCAAAAGAACAAATAAATGTGTTCTGGAGACTGTGCAGTCAGAGAACGCTTTGGAGGCAAGAATGATGAAGCTTCATCTTACATACTTCAGGCATGTTGCTAGGAGGGGCTATTTGGAGAGGGAAATGATCCTAGAAAAGGTGGAGGATTGAAGAAGAAGACCCCAACCAGGTGGAAGGACATGGTACTGCTGCAGTGGGCTCTAGCTTGTCAGGAAGTGTGAGGATGGCACAGGATAGCATGAGGTTCAGATCCACTCGCTGTTCATAGGGTTACACTGCACTCCACGGCACCTAACAACAACAACAGCAACAATATTGTATACACAGTACTGAGTAAAGGATTCCAGGATTATTTAACAACTAGATATTCAAACTTTCACACAGTCTGTCTCTGTCAAAGCACACGTTTTAAAGAAAATTTTTATTTTTTACTGGTTTACTTACAAAGTTCTTATATATAAATTTTCACACCAGGTCTTTCTTGTTTCCTTTATCTACCCGTCCCTCTATCCATCAAATTGTGCTACTCTATGATTATCTCCCTCTCCACCCATCCTCACCCCTCTGCTCCCACTTACCATACCTGTATCTTCATACACATTTTCCTAGTTACCTTTCTATTTCTACAATCATGATCTCATATAGTATTTGTTCTTTTGGGAATGAGAGAGTTCACTTAGCATAATGCTCTCCAGTCTTTTCAAAGTAAGGTAATGATTTTCAAAATCATTGCTCCTGAGTATTGCATAGTATTATATTGTGTCAATACACAAAAAATTCTCAATCCATTGCATTGTGGTTGTACATTTGGGATATTTCCATGTTCTTTCTATGGTGACTAACACTATTATGAACGTTTGTGTACAAGTCTCTGTTTAGGTCTCAGTTCTTATTTTCTCAGAGTATATTTCAAGCCATGGAATATCTGGGTCATATGGAATTTCTATGTTCAGATTTTTGAAGAAGTGCTCAACTGCCTTCCAGAGTGGTTGTACCATTTTACAATCCTACCAAGAGTGTATAAGAGTTCCTATCTCTCCACATCCTCCCCATCATTTATTACTTGTTAAACTTTATCATTGCTACTGGAGTGAGATTGTATCTCATTATGGTTTTGATCTTCATCTCTCTTATTGTCAGTGATTATGATAATTTCTTAAAGGGCACTTTTAAAAATTTTACTATTTTACTTACACTGTTCTTATATATTGATTTTCACCCTAGATCTTGCCCATTTCCTTAACCCACCACTCCCTCCACCTATCAAATTGTATGACCCCCCCATCCATCTTCACCTTTCTACTATCCCCCTTTAGATCTTTGTACATGTTTTACCAGTAGTCTATTTCTACAATAATGATCTTACACATATTTGTACTTATGGGACTGACTTAGTACACTTAACGTAATGTTCTCCAGTACCTCCCAAATGAAGTAGTGATTGACAAAAATCATTGCTTCTGTGTGCTGCATAGTATTTCATCATGTGAATGTACCATAATTCCTCAAGCCATTCAATTGTGGTTGTACATTTGGGCCTTTTCCATGTTCTTGTGATGGTAAATAACACTGCTATGAACATTGGGGTACAAGTCTTCAAGGACACTTTTGAATGAAATGCCTCATGGACACATACAGTAAAATTCTTAGAATTTTTAATCTAGCAATAAAGGTCTATATCAAGTCCAAGTGTTTATTTCAGGAGTTCATAAATTCAAAATAGGTAAACTAATAAAAATAAGAAAAGTAAATGACAAAAGCCAATACTCATTCATGATAGTAAATGTCAACATGAGCGTATACAAGGAATTGAAGGTACTTATTTCTAGTGATTTGCACTGCTAACCTAAAGTTTGTGCCTCTCTGCTGGCTCAAGTCCACCAGTGGCTAGGAAGGGAGAAAGACAGACAGCCTCCTCTCATGTAAGTGACAGTTTCAGAAACACTGTGGAAGGGTTGATTCCAATTTTCAGCAGTTGTGTGAACAGAATATAAAAACACATCACCCATCTGAGCAAAGAAAAGTGTGAATAATCACAGGAAATACAGCAGTTAATGATGAAATATTGTCTTCACTCCCCTAAAAATAAGGAATAAGGAATAAGGCAAAGGTACCTATACTTACTGAGATATTGATCCTGAGTTTGAGAAGAATTGGAGTCCCAGAGATCTTAATTTTGCTCATGTGGGACCTATACCTGGATTAGGAGGCTGTTTTACAAACACAGCAGGGTAACACTGCATGGTTTAAAGTTAATAAGGGAGTGCATAGGGTTGTATTCTCTCTCCATATGTATTTATCTATATGCTGAAAAAATTATTCAAGAAACTGGACTCTATGAAGAAGAGTGTGGTATCAGGTTTGGAGGAAGACTCTTCAATTGGCTACATTATGCAGGTGACACAGCCTTACTTGCTGAAAGTGAGGAAGACTTGAAACACTTGTGCAGAAGATCCAAAAATGAAACCTTCGATGTGGATTGCATCTCAGAATCAAGAAAACAAAGACTCTTACTACTGGACCTATAGGCAACATTATTCTGATTGGAGAAGAGATTGAAACTTAAGCTTCATCTTAAAGCTTCATCTTGCTTGGATCCACATTTAACATCCTTGATATCAGAAGTCAGGAAATAAGGAGACGTGTTGCACAGGGATTATCTGCACTTAATCTCTCCAAATTATTGAGAAGTGGTGATATCAGTTTAAGGACTAAGGTGCACCTAATTTAGACCGTATTCTTTCTGATCATTTGCTATATATCTGAAAGCAAGATAACGAGTAAGGATGACAGAAAAAGAATCAATGCCTTTGAGCTGTGATGTTGGAGAAGAGCACTGGATATCCCATGGATGGCCAAAAAACAGATTAATCATGAAGAGGGTGCAGGTGGAATCTTCTTTGGAGGCAAAAATGGTAAGACTTTGTCTCACATACTTTGGATATCTTGCTAGGACAGGCTATTCCTTGGAGAGGGACATGTTGCTAGGAAAATAAAGTTAGACTTTCAATCAGCTTGATTAACACGGTTAACTGCCACAATGGGCTTTAGCATATCAGGAAGTTATGAGGATGACTCAGGATAGAACAAGTTTCTGATCTTTTGTTCATAGAGTCACTCTGGGTAGTACTCAACTCGACAGCCCCTTACCCATACTAACGTTATCTGTCCTTGTAGTGGAAGTTAATGTGATCATTATTGGTAAAGAAGCAATAAACTGGCATTATTTGAAAATTACATGACATTTTACAGATAAAGTAAGATATTAAAAAATAAAAAAAACCCAAAGTACTAGAATGCAAGGTAAAAGTTTAGCATATAAAAATACTAATTTCATATCAGGTTTCAATGCTATTGTGCATCAGGTTGCTATGAGTCACAGGCAACTTCATGTCACATAACAACAATATCAATGTGTATTAAATAGTGAATGCTGAAAATTTTGTAATGATGACATTTCCTGATGAAAAGTAGCAAAACAACAAAGTTGGAAGCATTATATTATCTAAATTCAAGTATAACTAGGAGCTACAGAAATCAAGAATTTCTGGTGTAGGCATAAGTTGAAAAACTGAATATAGCAGAGAATGCAGAAATAGATACATATTTATTTCATCAATGAAGTTTCAACATGTTCTACAAAGTAATTTCATGAAAGTACTAAAACTTGTAGGATCTACGTGTTATAGTTGTTCAGTGCCATCGAGTTGAGTAACAGCAACTCTGTGAATATTAGATCTG